TATATAAATCTATATAAATCTATATAAATCTATATAAATCTATATAAATCTATATAAATCTATATAAATCTGTATACATCTATGTAAATCTATATACATCTATATAAATCTATATAAATCTATATAAATCTATATAAATCCATATAAATCTATATAAATCTATATAAATCTATATAAATATATATAAATCTGTATACATCTATGTAAATCTATATACATCTATATAAATCTATATAAATCCATATAAATCCATATAAATCTATATAAATCTATATAAATCTATATAAATCTATATAAATCCATATAAATCTATATAAATCTATATACATCTATAATTCTATAATCAATAGATCTATTAGTCTATTCCCAGGTAGCGTCCAGCACGTCCAGCAGCGCGCCCCCTCGGCGCCGCCCACGGTGCTGCGGTGCCAAATGACGCCGAGGCGGTCGCCGGGACCGGGAGCGCGTGCCGTGAAACATGGGGACATCGTGGGGATATTTACTGGACCATACTGGACCCAAGATTCCCAACTTTTGGGGGCAAACTGACTGTGGTTCAGAATTATGGACATTTATGGACCCCTAAGTGAGGTGAAGATTTCAGTCAATGGGTTACGGCTCAAAATTCTTGACCCACAAAATGGAGCGGTTCGGAAACTGAACAGGATAATTCTTATTATGCGAATTGGCCACCATTTTTTGAGCCATGAACCCAATTGCGGCACCGGCGATGCTGTAAATTTATGTAAATTTGGGATTCTGGGTGTATCTTTGGAGCGGGAAGCTGAGGATCACTTGGGTGCTTGAGGGGATTCTTGATGACCCCAACTTGGGATGTGAAGGGGAAAACCATGGAAAACCCTTGCGGTTTAAGAGTCAACAAATTAAGACTTGCACGATCTGGAAGAATGAGTGGATGAGATGTGCTATTCACATGTGTATACAGTATACAGTATACAGTCACAATGCAGCACAGGAAGCTGAAAGAAGTGTGCCGCCGTGCACTTTCAGTGTAGTAACTGATTACAAGAGTAGATCATGACTGACGTCACAGTGCGCACCAGCACATCTCATGAAATTGAAATACATGTTACATCATGTTACATCATGTTACATCATGTTACATCATGTTACATACAGCATCATACAGCTTCAATCGAGATATCGCAATACATCACAGTGATGTCCATTGTCCCATCATTGTCAGGTCCTTGGACACGAAGCTGAACGTTCGGGTGGTGCCTCGTCATAAAACTTAAATCTAAGTCACCAAGAGTTGAAACGCAGTGATGGCAAGCAGAGGTTGTTGGAGGTTCAATTACTTGGTGCCCAGTTAGGAATCATATTGATTTCAGCAGCTATTCTGATTCTTTTCAACATTTTTCAACAATGACAGTTCAAAACTACGAAATCAAACTCATCTGAGAGTGTCAGACTGCAATCATTGACCTCCTAAGACCATCGTTTTGAGATACGACGTGCGCGTCATGGCTTTGGTATCGCTTTACGTAGACTTGACGCGTCGGGGTGTACTTATCATTCTGTGCTGCGGGGGAGTCCTCATCCCCACTTTTTTGACGTGCCAACTGATTGAGTCGTTCATAGTGGATGTGGCAGGCCCCTGGCAAGTATGTTATCTTGTCAATAGCTGGTTTCTTTCAATTACCATAGAACTCCATGGCTGCTAAGCGGTACAGATTGGGATGTCAAGGCGCAGGCGTTGCTTCAAAATGGCGTTGCTTCGCTGGTGATTTTGGCTCTAGCTTGGACAATTTTGGGAGCCTCACCCATGACGGTCGCGCCAGTCATGGGGGAGAGCATGGGCTTCGAGCCTGGAACTTAGCTGAGAAGATCACTGAAAGGATGGGGCGATGGAAAGCTAATGAGGTCTGGTGAACCAAAAGCGTTGGGACATGTTGGGATGTAGTTGGGGGGATGGCTCCTTGTATAGTTCTTTGTGGCATTTTGTGCTGAAGATTTAGGAGATGCAATGAGGTACTCTGCTCTTGATGCGTCACCGACTCACCACGAAAGCTTCAAATTTGACAGGACGTTCCTGATTCTAGACATTTCCCTTGCCTGGCCTCATCTGGCTTCATTTTCGGTTGGCCTGCCAGTGGTGGTCTGGCTATGTTGGGCTCGGACTCGGCTGTGCCCGAGGCCGCAGCTGACACCGAGAACTGACCGGCACGTCAGGCATGGCTCCGGAACACATTCCCGTTTTGATTTTGCTTTGTGGGTTTCATGTCAGCTTCTTTGTGTAATAAACACCAGAAGGCCCCTGGCATTTGGGTTGGCTTGGGGCGCTTGCGCGGTGGGTTGACAGTTACAGTAGAGTTTCACAAGGTGTTGTGGCAAACAAAATAGGCTTCCCAAAGGCTGCGTTAATATTTTGCGTGCCATCTCCGTAGAACACAGCGTGAATCATATCGATTTTCTTAAGATACAAGAAATTGTCATGCAGGTCACTGTATGAGTCTGCGCTATTTGAACCTGGCACCAGGGGAAGAAAATGCTGGGTGCATCTCTGGGCACCTTGGCCGCATAGCGGAGCCAAAGTTGGGAATTTTGATGAATTTTGGGGATAACACAGACGTAATTTGATGTAATTTGTTCCTATGCCAAGGCCTGCTCCGTCCAGATGCCCCTTTTATATACGTATATATATATATATAATCGTATATATATATAAATTCTATATATAATATATATATACATATTGAAATATTGTTTAATATTTGGCGCGCGATTGAAACATGTTCGTTTATATAGACCAAAAGGAATTTGGTCGTTTGGCAGTTCCAGGCTAGGTCAGTCCAAGTTACAAGAATTTGGCAGGGGCTCCAACCCTCCGAACAATTTCTACCTTAAGGTTGGAACCTTCAGCATCCTCTATGTGGCAGCCTTGGTCATGACAGCTTTGCAGTCCCTTGGCAGCACATTGAATCACCACTTTCCAATCTCAAAGAAAGTGCTATTGAAAATTGGGGGGTTGCGGCATGTCTGCTGAGTGGGGTTCTTCAAGCCAAAGTGCGCATGCTTCAAAGTTTAAGATCACCCCAGCCCAATTTTGTGGTTGGTTTTGGTCGTCACCATCACACAGAATTGGGTGCCAACAAAAAAAAAAATGTTCTTCAGTTTCCATTGGCCCCTTAGTCAGTTCCTGCTTCTGTCGCCAACAATCCTTCCAGGTGGTCAGACAGAGGGTTGTGCGTCAGATCCTGGTGGTGCGTTTCCCGGATGTATCTTTGCAACTCAGCAGCACACCATGGTGGTGCGTGGTTGGGGACACCACACCCTGCCATGCGAGCTTCAGAGCGCTTCAGGGCAACTCTTTCGAGTGTTTTTGTGTTCATTTTCGTGGAGTAGCGATGATATGCGATGATGTATGAGGGAAACATTGATGTGAATTGAATCATGTAGAAAGATGTAGAAAGCACCAATGAAGCCACCATGTGCAGCATAATTGTAGCATAATCGCCGGATGATGCCGGCTGATTGGCCGCTGGGACGCCATGGGAGGTACCTTCATCGCTGCGCTGATGCGACTTGGTGGATGCCATGGGATGCCATGGGAGCCCAGGATGGGACAAAGGCGATCTAAACTTTGGCACAAATGATTAATTACATATGATTAAATGATCTCAATAATTAATTGTTAAATGATATATATATATATATATGAGTATATATATATATATATGTGTATATATATATATATATATGAGTATATATATATAATATATATTGAATTGGTGTTCCCCTAATTTAATTTCCCAGCAGGAAGATTTATTTTCATGGGGTTATTGGGTCAAGCTGCTGGAAAACTGACCATGACTCCAGGTGGGTATGGTACCTGTGGCGGAGCACCACCAGAGAAGGCCGGTCAGCTGATGGACCAATGTTTGTTGATGATGAAGATCCCATTCTGTCAATGCCGGGGTATTCCATGAATGGGTGTACCCCAGAAACCCTATGAAAATGGATGATTTGGAGGTTTCCTGAAATTGAGGTACCCCAAAATCATCAATTTGGATTTTCCATTGTAAACCATCCATTTTGGGTACCCCCATTTATGGAAACCCCTATTTGGAAGTACCCCCCATTGGAAGGGAAACCGATGATCGGTTTGCAGGTGAAGTCCCCTTGGGGCTCCTAGCGCCTGGGCGGCATCGCTGGAGGGGCTGGTCATGGGGGCCACGTTTCGGCCCCAACTTGAACACTTACTGATAAACATGGATATAACATGGATATAACATGGATAAATTATGGAAAACCTTGGATGGGTCAGGAAGAAACACCAGCCACTTTGATGGTTTAATTGCGAGATCCAAGGCAGTTGGATGGTTTCGGATGGGATAGGGAGAGAATCTAGTTTGATGACTTGATAGGAAAGATGATGACAAATCAAACTCTCCCGGCTTTGAAACTGGAACCATATATAAAAACTTGTGAAACCTGCTGTAAGATCTGTAAGAATGCCAATCCGGAGGTTTTTTTTTGCAACAGAATGCCTAGAAATCTGTGGCGACCTCGTCAGGTCAGCATTTGGTTCACCACGGGCACCTTAAGCGTTGGGATGTGCTCCCTGTGCAATTGGGGCATGGTGCAGTTTTGGGCGTGGTTGGATCCACTGTGCTGCTTGGCTGTGGATATCTGTGGAGCTGCAGAGCTGTGATCTCGCGCAAATTTCCGTTTGGATGGCACGAACAAAGAGATGTTTTTTTAGGTCCCAATGGAATGCCACCCAAATTCGGCAAGTCGGCACTGGTTTGGAGACTCTGGTTATAGGGTTTTCATCGGTGCCGAGCGTATTCGGTCTACACCCTGGAAATCATTGTGATGGTCACAAGGTGCTGCTAGAGGTGTGGAATGCATGGGATGGTTGAAAGATGCTGCTGGTGTGGCGGAACCGATCTTTGTCAGCGCCGAGGTTACATTACCTACCCAGCTGATAACTGGTTGGATGCTAAGCGATGACGGGATGCGACTGCCCTGCAGGGTCAGGATGGTTGGGGGATTTGAATTCAATGGCATTCAATCGACATCTTCAGACATGTTCTATGTTTCTATTTGAGAATGCTGGACCATGATCATATTTTTAGACTCGATGGTGCTTAATTAACACGATCGATATATATATATATATATATAATTATATAATATTTATTATTATGTATTAATTATATACAGTAGTATTTAATCACCATTCATTATCATAATATTGTACTATAGAACAATATAATATTATTATCATATATGTATACTATCATAATCACCATAATATTATACTATAGAATAGTATGATACATTCGTATCCAATCATCATCGTCATAGCTGAAGACATCAGGCCATGGGAGTACACCTCGACGAGGTGTATCATGGTCAATGCTGCTCTGCTGAACGCCATGGGCATGCTGCTCTCATGGCTGGCGAAAGGATGTCTTAGTGGGGCCAGATTCATCCAGATCATGATTTTAGATGATTCAATGTCTATAGGACATGCCAATCAAGTTAAGAAACCCCCCCAATTTCAGGGAAAGTGTCATCGGATGTCATCGGATGTCATCGGATGTCATCGGATGTCATCGGATGTCATCGGATGTCATCGGCATGCAGTCTCGACTCGAATCACCGCGCATCGTGAGCATTGAGACCCTGGGATCTGCGGTATCAGATGCCCAGTGTTGGTGCCCCACGGACTGTAGGCTTCATGAAAAAGGGTTGCTACGGGTACAACACATTCCATCATGTTCTATCAATTTCTTATGCGCAATCGATTTCTGGATGAGTTTGATCAAAGCCAACATCAGCTGTGTGTTTTTTTAAAAACTGTTTTGAAACTACGGGAATCTATGGGATATTCACGATATAAGCACCAGAACATGGGAGTGCAGCACCTTGGCTGAGGCAGTGCAGTGGGTTTTGACCGCAGGCATCATTGAGGACTGTTATGGGCTGGCGGCAACAGGGACGATACAGTGGAGCCCTAGAACGGTTCTATGATGGCTATGCAAGTTGTACAATTATGATAATATATGATTATATATTATATCTGTGGTTCACCCGATCGAGCCATAACTCCATTTGCAGTTACATGTGGTCAAAGGACCATAAGGTTCAAAAGTTGGATGGCATGCAACATGGCATGACCACCTGCACAAAGATGACACGCCATTGAACAAATGGCTCAAGATGCAAGCTCTTGAAAAGATAGAGCGCGTCAGCAGCTGAGAAGTTGCACCTGTGTGAGAAACCACGGATTATGAGCCCAAAGTGACTCGACCTGGCATGGAGTTGAGCCGACGGAGAGAAGCTTCTGTGCAGCGGCGGGCAGCTCAAGCGCTAGCTGGCGAAACAGCAGATGCGCAACTGCAGCAGCTGGTGGATGATGCGGCAGTGGCTGGAGCTAGTGGGGCGAATGCAGTGTCCACTGTGCCTGGGAGCATTGGGATGGTGTCTGGTGTTTCTGGGGGTGACTTGTTAGCTGGTTTGCAACCCATAGGTCCACCGATGTCCTTCTCTCCAGGTGATTTTCTTGAGCCAGTTAGAGGTGAAACTACTAAAGGCGAAAAGAACCTCGAGGTAAAAGGAGAAAATCCTGAAGTGAAACGTGTTGTTGTGTCTGAACCGAGTTCTGATGCCCGTAGAAGTGATGGTGCTGATGGGAATGCCTCTGGTTCCCCCCAAAATGGTAACGGTAAAGGTCAAGGAGGCCATGTTGCCACGGGAAAGGGAAACGGTGGGACCCAACAAGTTACCCAGGGTTCAAGGGTTCGGCAGGCGAAAAATGAGCCTGGTCAGCCAAGTGGGTTGGACAGGAATGTTGTTGGTGAAAACCCTCCTCAAATGTGGGTCACCGGTGATGTTGTGGGGAAAAATGAAATCCCAAAAAATGTGGGGCAACATGGTAGTGAAAAACATGTTGTTCATGGCCAAGGGGTAGAGGGATCAATGCCTAGTGGTTTGGGGGTCCAAAGCCCAGTGAACCCGTTTTGGAGTCCTGACTGCAAACGTGAAGCTCTTCGAGAAGCTTATGGGTCTGGCTATGAAGGTCAGGACCTTATGCGACTTGGTTTTAGTGCTGGGTTTCAGGATGCTTCGCAACTTGGATTTAGCGCTGGGATTCAGGAGCCACTGCAGTCAGTGTCAAACACCACCACACCACAAAAAGGGTATGTTGAAATGGATCCTGTTGAGCTCTTTAGGCTTAGGTGTTTGCGTGAAGCCGAGGAAAAGTTTCGGCAAGGTGTGCTGTCTTTGAAGTCCGAACTGAAAAGGGAAGTAGGACAAAAGATGGTTTTTGATGAGTGTTGTGAGGGTTTGGGAGTTGTTGGTGGAAAAGAGGATGGCATGAAAAATGAACCATCCCTGCAAGGGTCACAAAGTTCCTTTGTTTCGGTGCCAGAGCCTTTGGTTGAACTGTTTATCCCTAGGCCTCCACCGGGTCCACCACCACCTTCGCCTCCGAAAGTGTCTGTTGTGGGATGTGGGAATATTGTAGGGAATGTTTGCCCCCCACCTCCTGTGTTGCCACCATTTCCGCCTTCGATCGTAGGCCTTGGCCCAAACTCAGGCGTTTGTGGTGAAAATCCCTCGGAAACTCTGAGGACTGTCGATTTGCCGAAGTTGTCAGGTGATGCAACTGCGGTTCAATATGGTGATTGGCTCAGCGTGGTTGACACGATGATGGGCGACTTGTCGTACACCAGTGAAACCTGGTGGAAAATGGTCCGTGGTGTGTCGGATCAGTGTTATCAAACATGGTTGATTTCTGGACCTCTTGAAAGGTTGAATTTGAAACCTCAAGCCACTCCTGAAATGGGAATGTTTCCAAGAACAGAGCGTCGTGCACTGTCTATGCTGTTGGCTGCAATTCCTGAAAATGTGAGGGATGAAATGATTGCTAGCCGAAAACTGACTGTTGATCAATTGCTCTTTCGGTTGTCAGTGTTGTTTCAACCTGGAGGGTCTGCTGAACGTACCAAATTGTTGCACATGTTGACTGATGGAAAATGTGGTAACAGTGTGAATGAGATTCTGGAATGGCTGCGTCAATGGAGACGGAATGTTCAAAGGGCTGTAGAACTGAATGTTGTTCTCCCTGATGGTATTGTGCTGTTAGGTGCCCTTTCCAAATGCTCCGACTGCCTTAGCCAGAAATCTCCGCAAGTTGCCTACAGATTGAATTTGGTGCGCCAGCAGCTCAACCTTGACCGCCAGCCGCACACTGCAGTGATTCTTCGCTACTCCGAGCATCTTCAAGCTGAAGCTGAGGACTTGTCGCTTGGTGCTGGGGGAAAAAACGGGGACAGCTGTGAAAGCTGCTGCATTGGGTGTTGATAGGCCTCCAGGGTTGCCACAAAATGGGGATGAGGGGAAGCCCCAAACTCAGAAAAAATATCCATGTAAGTATTGGATGACCGAAAGAGGGTGCACGAGGGGTGATTCATGCAAGTTTCATCATGCTCAGTTGGATCCCAAAAGTGGTAGATGTTTTAATTGTTCGGGTGTTGGACATTCACGGACTGATTGCCCAGTGAAAAAAGGGAATTGGAACCCCAAAAATGATACCCCAAAAAAGGTTGCCAAAACCACCAAAAGTGAGGGTAAGGGGACCCCCGAAAAGGGAAAGGGTTCTGGTGTCCATGAAAGCCCTGAAAAAACCTCAAATGCTGCCGCCACGGCAGATGTGTCTCTTGGATGTGAAACGTCAAAACGTACGGATGGGAGTGAAAATGGTGGGAACCCTGAAAATGTGTCGGGGATCATCACTGATGCTTCCACCTTGTTGAAAACGTTGAAACCGTGCAGCAAAGCGGTGAAAGTGAAACGGGTTATGCCCTCTGATGGGCCGACTGGTCTCTTGGATGGTGGTGCAACAAATGCACTCCGTAGGGGAACTCCGCAGGAATTGGAAGCCTCTGAAACTGTGTTGGTTGAATTGGCACATGGGTCTGTGGAACTGAAACAACACCCCCTTACGGGAACTATCCTTGCTGAAAAAGCTGTTGAACCCATTGTACCACTTCGAGGGTTGATCGAGTTGGGTTTTGTCATCAAATGGAGTTCAAATGGATGTGAAATCAAACACCCCACCAGGGGCACAATCAATTGTTGGCTTTGGAATGGTTGTCCTGTTGTTTCCGAGTCAAATGCACTGGCCTTGATTCATGATGTGGAATCTATGGAAATGGCGAAAAGAATCCCTGTAGGAACTCATGAACCTACCCCCGGAAATGTTGAGGAATGGTGGAGTTCTAGGTTCCCAAATGTCCCAAAAAGAATTTGGAAATACATGAGTGGTCAAAACATGTCCTTACAGGGTTGTCACCTGCCGTGGAACCGTGCACAAAGGCGACGTCACTCTCAGGCCAAAGCACTGGTGATCCACTTGTATGCGGGCGAATCAGCCAAGGAATGGGATCATGGATGGCCGCCTGGACTGGAGGTTGTCACCTTGGACGTTCTGAACGGCCAGAATGTTCACGATCCGGCCACTTGGGCGTATGTCTGGGAACTGGCTGGTTCTGGAAAAGTCATTGCAATCATTGGTGGGCCACCTTGTAGGTCTGTGAGTCGAATGTTGGAAAAACAGCCTGGACCACCAAGACTTAGGGGACGTGATGGGGATGATCGTTTTGGGTTACCGATGTTGACTGAAGCCCAACAACAAAAAACTGATGGAGATACTGCGATGTTTCTCAAACAGTTGGGTTTATACATGCATGCTGAAGAAAGTTGGAACCCCGAAACATGGCCGCACATGGAACATGTCAAAAACAGGGTTGGGTTTTTCTTGGAATCCCCACAAGACCCGAAAACCTATCTTCCTGATGGGGCTGGTGATGAATCGGCTAGTTTTTGGGCATGGGATGAAACCCTTGCGTTTTTGGCCAAGTATGAAAATGTTGGCATGAGCCTTCTCAGTTTTGATCAAGGTGCGTTTGGTCATGTTAGGAAAAAACCAACAACATGCATGTCAAACCTGCCTGATATGTGTGAACTTGATGGGTGCCGATCCGGTCAGAGGGAAAGGCATCTTGCTGTGCACTTGGATGAGCGATTGCAGCAGACCTCAACGTGGTCATTGTGGGCTCCTGGTCTTCGTGCTGCTCTCCGCACATCGTTGCTGGTCTTGGGTGAGTGGTATGGGTTGGCACCACCAAAGCTTTCCAAAAGTTTGGGGATTGAACAGTGGCGTCAACACATTGCCCAGGGTCACCAACCTTACCGAAGGGATTGTCGAACATGCGTTCTCAATATGGCGGGGGCGAAACCACATAGGCGACGGGAAAACCATGGTAGTTCTGCTTGGACTATGGCTGTTGATCTTGTTCCTTTGCCTAGGGCGCGAGACTTAGCCACCCGAAAAATGGTCAAGTATGCCTTGGTTGCCACTGCACTTGTTCCGGTTTTTGGGGATAGTGAAACCTCCAATTCCTCTGAAATCTCAAAAGACCCCAAAAATGGTGATGAAGTCGAACCCCCAAAAGAGGTTGTTGAAACTGTTGATGCCAATTGGGGGGAGGGTCTCGAAGAAAAGGAGTTTGTACTTCAGGGGGAGCCGGATGAACCATGTGATGACCCAAAAAAGGTCCCTGACGGTGATGATGATGAATATGAACCCTCAATTGCTGGGGATGAAATCGTAGCTGACATTTCCAAAGAACCCAAAAATGTCCCTGTCGATGCTGGGGATGAACCTTTGGATCCGGATGCTCAGCTGCACAAAGAGGTTGAACAGTTGTCAGCACCCTTGAAAGTCCGACATGTCACTTTGATGGAACCAGTCATGTCAAGGGGTGTCCAACATGTTTTGCCTGCCATGGATCGAATCATGACCCGAATGAAATACATGGGTGTTTGGGTGAACAGAATCCATTCAGACCGGGCGAAAGAACTGTTGTCCTCAAAATTTCGGTTTTGGGTTGCCCACCAAAACG